CTTGACAGTCAATGAACCATTTAATAATGATAAATACCGATTAAAGGTGTTTAAAGAGTTGAGGAACTCATGAGTAGTTCAAATTTAGCTCGGTCAGAATTTGGTTAAAGTTTGTCTCGATTCGAACTCTATTCAATACCTTAATGAGTTGAGTCGAATAAAGTTCAGCTAGTTATTTTTTTAAAAAAAATTAGAAGTTGTGGATTTACCAAGCGCTGGATGGACTGACCGAACTGATGAAGGATGAATGCTATGTTTCTTCGAACACGATGGTTTTGGACGGTGAAGTTCTTGAGGAAACCGGATGAAGCCTGGAAGAGTAAACATATTTGTTTTTCTATAGGAGATTCGATGATGGATAGATTAAACATTAAAGCAGGCTCTTCAAGATAATATCAACATTTTTTTATGCATTTTTGCTGCTAAACTAATCAGATATGCTAATTATAGTATTTTTACAATTATTTATAAATTTATAAATTGTAATTACCAATCCAATTGAATTTTATAAGTTTTCTGAATGGTAATCTTAAATGAATTTCACATTAAACACTTAATGAATAAATTAAAAAATCTACAAAATTAACGGTTGAATCTCTTCTAACCCCATGCATACGTTAGACTGAGGTGTAGCTTACGACGTATATGTTAGGCTTAGGGACGACAATTTAATCTGAAACTTATGGATTTCAACCTAATACAATGAGATTGGGTCGAACTGATGGACGACAATCTACAAAATAAATACATTGTATTTATCATTGTATACGTTAAACATTTATTTTAGGATTTATAATTTAGAGATTAAAATTCTTGAATACTATTTAATTTAGTATTGATTTTGGGATTACAAATTCTCAATATAATTCTATGCGACTGCACATTAAGTAATTGTTTTTCCTTTTGGACATCGTGCGCTATCATGTTTGTTGTTTCCCTATGCGTTAATTTATGTTAATTGATTTAAAGTATTTCTTTTATTATTGTTCGATAGATGGATTCAAGATTTGTTTGCATAATAACAACTGTGTTTACTAATACAATTGGGGTTTGGAGATAACTTTAGTTTTTTTTTTAGTGTTATACAACAATTTAATTTTTAATGCCCATCAATTCTAAAGCATTAATTAGGAAAATCCATTTATGAGTTTAAGTATGACTCATGTTAATTGTATACTAAATTTCACCGAGCGATTATCTCGTTTGGTTTTGAGATGAATTTGGTTGACAATTGTATATACTATAAGCTTGGTGGGAGTAAACTAAATAATATCCGTTATTGCTAAATGAAATAAGTTTAGTCTTTATCAATGCCTTAAGGATGATTTTGAAACTAAGGAAATTCAGAAAGGCTCCTTCCGCTTCAAAATAAATAAGAATTTAATATATACTCAAGTTTATACGCATGACATTACATATGATTTTAGGATATTAAGCATATATTTAAGCAATTTGGGTATGTATCATTGTATATAAACCAAATTGATTCATACGATGCATTTAAGAACAAAATGCTACATGATCACATATTGGAGGTCTAATAAGTAAGAGATTATTAGGTTTATGGACTCCAATTTATTGGAATATGGATGCAAAAATTTTATCACATGAACTGCAAATTATAGATTGATAAGAAAGACCACTTGAGTTATTTTGTGACAATTAAGTTGTAATCATTTATTTCATATATATAAATAAACACCTTAAAGTCTAAGCATTTAGACATTATGTTTCTAGTTGTTAAAGAAAATTCAAAGTGGTTATGTGTTTGTAGAGCATATTGATACAAACTCATAATTGCACGTTTACTAAGGAATTGTCACCCAAGGTCTTTCATGAGCACACTTCTCATGTGTGTGTAATATCATTCAAGGATATTTGGTTTTAGTGGGAGTTTGTATTTAATTCTCGTTTATTATAAACACAATTTTAGTTACTTCGGTTTAAGGATATTTATTTTAAAATTATTTTTTGCAAAAAATAAAGTTTATTTTGGTTTAACCGAACTCTGATTTTGGTAAAATTTGATCTCACTAATGTTTAAAGAGGACTAGTTAGAAATAGACATGTGTGGTTCACATTGCATGTAATTTCCATACTACACTCCATGATTGATCTATGTCATTTGATTGTGTTTGTATACGTGACCATTTATGGGTCTAGTCATGATTAATATGACAAAGAACGCTTTGATCCTATATGGATATAGTTGATGAACGAGATTGTTATAAAATGCTTATTATATTATAGCAAATTTTGAGCTCTTAAGGTTGTACATTTGTCAGGAAACATATGTTGCCCTAGTGGGAGATTGTTAGAGTAAAATTCATATTTGTAGGCACATATACATAATGTACAAAGTTATCATAAAGTATGACACAAAATTAAGTGACCAATTATGTTACATGTGTTATATGTCTTAAAGTATTATGGAATCAAAGTGTAGATACCACAAGTTGTATTTATAATTTGATGAGTGTCAAAATTATAAATACTTAAAAGATTGACCTAATATTCAATCTATATAAAGAGGTAGTGGTCCTCAAGAAATAGGTTAATTTATATTACTCTTATCCCGTCAGAGAGATTTTACGGCAAGAGCAAACATATCTTTTTAGAATATCACAACCAAAGAAAGACTCAGATTTCAACCTATCAATTAATTAAGGTACGCTTTTGCAATTATAATATTTTTATTCTTAATGGTTTGACATGATTTGATCGTGATTAATTTTATATTTATTATAGTTTGACTCTAACATAGATAATAAATTTTGAAAAAATGTTGCCCCGTTGGACCGGCTTACTTCTGGCATGCCACATCACTCGTCAAAGTCTTCTCTGTCTTAGCACTATTTATAGGCAGATTCTAAGGTGGTATTTGTTTTTGCAGAGGTAAAAGGTCTGCAGTCTACGGACCACATATGCAGCAGAAGAGGTAGAACAAAAGTCTGCAGTCTGCAAGAAGAAGACTGTTTGTTTTTTAATGTCTGCAGACTGTTAAAATGAACTGAAATATAAATAAACTGATTTTTTAAACTTAAAAGAGTTTTGTAATACTGAAATTTAAATAATTTTAGTTTTACAATACTGAAATTTAAATAATCCATACAACTACAATAATAAATTATTTAAAATAAATTAATCCATATTTTAAAATAAATCAATCCATAATAAATTATTTAAAATAAATCAATTCATACAACTACAATAATAAATCAATCTATATTTTAAAATAAATCAATCCATACTAATAAATTATTTAAAATAAATCAATCCATATTTTAAAATAAATCAATCCATACTAATAAATTATTTAAAATAAATCAATCCATATTTTAAAATAAATCAATTCATACTAATAAATTATTTAAAATAAATCAATTCATACTAATAAATTATTTAAAATAAATCAATCCATACAACTCCAATAATAAATCAATCCATATTTTAAAATAAATCAATCTATACTAATAAATTATTTAAAATAAATCAATCCATACTAATAAATTATTTAAAATAAATCAATCCATATTTTAAAATAAATCAATTCATACTAATAAATTATTTAAAATAAATCAATCAATATTTTAAAATAAATCAATCCATACTAATAAATTATTTAAAAATAAATCAATCCATATTTTAAAATAAATCAATCCATACTAATAAATTATTTAAAATAAATCAAACCATACAACTACAATAATAAATCAATCCATATTTTAAAATAAATCAATCCATACTAATAAATTATTTAAAATAAATCAATCCATATTTTAAAATAAATCAATCCATACTAATATATTATTTAAAATAAATCAATCCATATTTTAAAATAAATCAATCCATACTAGTAAATTATTTTAAATAAATTATTTTAAAATAAATAAATCCATATTTTATACTAATTTATTTTAAAATAAATTATTTTATAATAAATTATTTTAAAATAAATTATTTTATAATAAATTATTTTAAAATAAATTATTTTATAATAAATTATTTTAAAATAAATTATTTTAAAATAAATAACCTTATTAAATTATTTAAAATTATTTTAATAAATAACTATATTTTATAATTGTTCTTGAAGAGGTTTGAAGACCTTTGAAGACATAAAACCATGTCTGCACCAAGAAGAGCTCGAGCAGATGTTAGAAGAGCTTCTGTCTTCTAAAAAAACAAACAATCTGCGAAGCTTAAAGTCTGCGCGACGCAGACATAAGAGGTTTGAAGAGGTTGCACAGTGAAAACAAACTAAGCCTAAGACTTCAACATTGTTGAATTTTGAATTATAATATTTTTAATATAATAAATATTTATAAAATAGTTTTTGATTTAATTAATTTTTAAGAATAATTTAAATTCCAAACAAATTTAAATTTTTTTCTTTAAATGATTTTAATTTAATTGATTTTTTTAAATCAACCGTTAACATTTCATCTTTTTTTAATTTAAATTAAGAGTCACGGATGATGTTATAATAATAGTTGGTCAGTGTTTCTACGTAAAAGAAATTGATTCATAAAAAGGAGGGAAAGTTAATATTAGAGATCATATAGAGTTTGGTTATCTTTCTCAATCGTCGTTAAGAGATATTTATGGTGACGGTAACTAATACAATATATATATATATATATATATCCAGAAATTTTAACTAGCAAAAAATCGATCGTTTTTAAAGTTAACCTTCAAACTTACACTCAAATAATTTTCAAGCTTCTATCGTGACCATTCATTGAGATTTTTTTAAATAATGTAGTAAAAATTATTTATTGATTTTAATTTTTTATCCTTTTTAATTAGATCAATATTTGAACAACTAGAATAGTCAAAGACTTCTAAAATTTAATCTTATTACTTTAAATTCTATGATCAATTTAGCCCTTTTACTTATCTAATTTAAAAATTGAAATCTGATTAAGAATATTATAACTGACTTCTGTTAAATCTAAATATATAATATACTTACTATTATAATTATACTCGTAAATTGTAACAAAATAAGGTCTGGTTTAGCATAGAAGAATATTCATCCTGGATTCTTATTTAGATTTTAAGCAACATTTCAGCATACAAGTTACTGACATTAGTTAACGACTGCTTATTTAGATATCATTATCACCGGATTGTAGGTTGTCTCTTGCACTTCCAGTTTTTTAGTGCCTATTAAACCCTGCAAATAAAAGGAATATAAAAATATTAATTTTCTCATCTATAGAGTATCATTATGCATGAACCAAGCAACCGTAGCAGTAAAAGAATTGTTGGTATTTCTTGAGGTCTCAGGTACAAGCGCCAGGAATGCAAGGGGGTGTGAGTGTTCAATGTCAAATGGTTAAGAGTTGTCTTTGAATATATATTGTCGTAACCGGTTTTTGTCCGGGCACGAAATATTTATTTTTGGCGGGAAAATTTATGTGAATAAATGGTTTTGAAAATAATTTGGGAGTCGCCATCGGCCTTTTGGGTTAGGTAGGTCGAATACCTAAAAATTATTTTTTAAAAGAGTTTTAAGAAAACACCAATAAAAAACTAAACTGATCTGCGTTTATAACCAAAAATTCGTTCTTTTTAATAATAAAGAGGGATTCGTGGTCGGTTACGTTTAGGGAAGGATTAACACCCCTACAACGCCCAAAATTGGTACTTTTTAATTATGAATTGTCTCTCTTATTAAAAATATTAAAAATTCAAAATATATTTAATTTATAATCCTATTATTTCAAAATTATATAAAAAATATTTAAAAATATCGGAAAATGACTTCTAGGTGCCTTAAGACAGCTCTTTTCTTTGATATTGATAAATATTAATTTAAATTAAATAATATTTTTTATAATTTTTAATTTTAAAATATCAGAATAGGACATCCAGTTGTATTAAGACTGTCATTTTCTTCGATATTTATTTAAAATAAATATTTATTTATTATATATTTATAAATGACTACATAATAAAAATATTTAAAAATATAAACAAGTAAAATAAAAATACCATTAGAGCTATATATTTAAAAGCAATAAAATACTAAAAATATTTAAAATAAATGACTAAATTATAGTAAAATTAAAATTAAAAAACCTAATTCATAATTAATCAAAATTACGGGGATTAAACATGCTATTTTCTTATTTAATAATTTAGTGACTAAAATAAACTTATCTAAAATTCGAATATAAGATTAAAATAAATTAAAAATATAAACTAGGGATTAAAATATTATTTATTAAATTTAAGGGACAAAATCTGTTATTTACCCTAAATATATTATTTTAATATAAAGGACTAAAATAAATAAAATTAAAATTTAGAGATCAAATTAAAAGGATTATAAATTCGATTTAGTGACTAAAATGTAAAGTTTACAAATATAGATGGCTGCGGAAATGATTTAACTATTCTTTAATTACACGAATAGCCCTCCCCAAAACGACGTCGTTTGGGAAGGGCTATTTAATGCCCAAGACAGCCGGCCCTTCGGGTCATCTATTTCATTTTTCAAATTTCATTCTCTCTCTAACTGAGAGAGAATGAACAAAGCTCTCTCTTCTCTCTAGCTTCTCTCACCGGAGGGAAGCCGGTCACCGGACGGCAACCGTCTGCCGCCGTGACCCTCACCGCCGGCCACCGTATCCGGTGGCCGGAAAATTTTATTTTTACATTAATGGGTAGATCTGACCGTCCTAAAGACGGTTTCGGTGTTACTTTTTCCTAAATAGCCCCCGATCGGAGCAAATCTAAAGAAATACCTTCGGTTTTTCGAAGGTTTTGGTGAAGTTTGAAGCGTTCCGGTGGCTTCCTCGGTAAGCTTCTTTCCTTTCTTTTTGTCTCTGTTTTGGTTTGTTGCTGGTTGTGGGACATTTGCTCTCTGTTTTCTATCTCTCTGTCTCTGTTGTGGTCTGTATTTCTCTCTGTCTTCCTTTTTTTTTCGCAGATGGGGTGATGGCTTTATAGCCATCACCGGTGTGGCCATCGGACCGGTCCGAAGAGCGGGGCTCAGTGAGTCACCGGACTCCCAGTGGTGACTCACCTCATAGCCATGGCGTGGACGGCTGGCGTTGGAGCTTCTGGAGCCTTCGGTTGGGACGTGGCAGCGGTGGAGATAGCGAGAGCAGATGCGACGGCCGCGTGGCCCTAGGGTATTATACCCTAGGGTTTGCTGCTGGAACCATCTGGACCGTTGGATCTTGCCAGATCCAACGGCAACAAGCTGAGGCGGCTGGGAAGATGGAAACCCTAATCTGTTAGGGTTTGTGATGGGCCATTTGTAATTGGGCCGGTTGATTGGGCTTGTATATTTTTTATTATTATTTATATATGTATTTAATATATTTAATAATAATAATAATAATAATAATAATGATAATAATAATAATAATAATAATAATAATAATAATAATAATAATAAATCAATATGGGTAAAAAATTAGTATCTTCAGCTGCCCCTCTTTGCTCATTCTTGTGTTAACAGGAATAGGGCAAAGATGAAAAGATAATAAAATTTTTTATCCATTTGGCTTCACTTGATTATGCATGGAGATGTTGAATAACTTCTTCTCTTTCTTTCAAATGAGTTCTTCTCATTATGAACTTTCCGCTGGGGATGATGTTGACCTCTTTCTTTTTGTGATAGAGTCATTCAAAAGGTTGAATAAGCTCTTGATGAGTTCTTCTCATTATGAACTTCTTCATCCTTCTTCAGATGAGTTCTTATTATGAACTTGAACTGGAAAAGCTAATCTATCAAGTGATAGATTTGAGCAAAAGGTTGATCCATCAATTGATGAATTCAGGTAAAAAGTTGAACAAGTTCTTCTCATTATGAACTTCTTCTTCCTTCTTCAGATGAGTTCTTCTCATTATGAACTTTCTCTAGAAAGGCTGATCCATCAATTGATGAATTCAGGTAAAAGGTTGAACAAGTTCTTCTCATTATGAACTTCTTCTTCCTTTTTCAGATGAGTTCTTCTCATTATGAACTTTCTCTGGAAAGGCTGATCTATCAATTGATGAATTCAGGTAAAAGGTTGAACAAGTTCTTCTCATTATGAACTTCTTCTTCCTTCTTCAGATGAGTTCTTCTCATTATGAACTTTCTCTGGAAAAGCTGATCCATCAAGTGATGAATTCAGGCAAAAGGTTGAACAAATTCTTCTCATTATGAACTTCTTCTTCCTTCTTCAGATGAGTTCTTCTCATTATGAACTTTCTCTGGAAATGTCAATCCATCAAATGATAGATTTGAATCTTTGCTAAAATCTTTGAAATTCCTGTTAAAAATTCAACATAGATGAAAATGAATGAAAATGCACCTATTTTTGCAAACACCTAAATATGATGCATGAATGTTAAGTTATTTGATTTCAGATTGGTGAATTGAGTATTTCTTCAATTATAAAAACCCAATAGATATTTCTTCTTCAAATCAGAGAATCTATCATCTTTGACAAATGTAGATGTAGATATAATGTCACAAAACCTCTTGAGAATAAAACTCAATAGTATAGGCTCTTGAAAAGCTTGCATTCAGGCAACATGTTGATTCTGATAACAATCATCGATTATGAAGTGACCTTTTCAGATGATTTCACAGATATCGATAGTTCTTTTAATATCGAGAAATCTGAATTCTGATTCTGATGAGGAGAATAAACTGTTATACTTGACAAAAATGGGATTCTCAGAGGCTGAAACTTCAATAGCCCTGGAGAAATGTGGTCCAGATTCATCAATTGCAAAATTGATAGATTTTATATGTGCAAATGAAAGATGCTGCACTCAATGATGCTGCACAATAAGCAAAAGAAGCTTGAAAAGAAGCTTCTTAATGAAGACGATCATGCAGTTCATCTTTTAATTCCAATGATTGGTTCTGTAGTTCCTACCAAACCAGATTAAATAACTCAAAGAACACTTCCAGAAGATGCTATGAGCACATTCATCTTCCAAATTCAATGATTGGTTCTGCCAAACCAGATCAGATAACTCAAAGAACACTTCCAGAAGATGCTATTAGCAAATTCATCTTCCAAATTCAATGATTGGTTTTGCCAAACCAGATCAGATAACTCAAAGAACACTTCCAGAAGATGCTATGAGCACATTCATCTTCCAAATTCAATGATTGGTTCTGCCAAACCAGATCAGATAACTCAAAGAACACTTCCAGAAGATGCTATGAGCACATTCATCTTCCAAATTCAATGATTGGTTCTGCCAAACCAGATCAGATAACTCAAAGAACACTTCCAGAAGATGCTATTAACAAATTCATCTTCCAAATTCAATGATTGGTTTTGCCAAACCAGATCAGATAACTCAAAGAACACTTCCAGAAGATGCTATGAGCACATTCATCTTCCAAATTCATGATTGGTTCTGCCAACCAGATCAGATAATTCAAAGAACACTTCCAGAAGATGCTATGAACATTCATCTTCCAAATTCAATGATTGGTTCTGCCAAACCAGATCAGATAACTCAAAGAACACTTCCAGAAGATGCTATTAGCAAATTCATCTTCTAAATTCAATGATTGGTTCTGCCAAACCAGATCAGATAACTCAAAGAACACTTCCAGAAGATGCTATTAGCAAATTCATCTTCCAAATTCAATGATTGGTTCTGCCAAACCAGATCAGATAACTCAAAGAACACTTCCAGATGCTATGAGCACATTCATCTTCCAATTCAATGATTGGTTCTGCCAAACCAGATCAGATAACTCAAAGAACACTTCCAGAAGAGCTATGAGCACATTCATCTTCCAAATTCAATGATTGGTTCTGCCAAACCAGATCAGATAACTCAAAGAACACTTCCAGAAGATGCTATTAGCAAATTCATCTTCCAAATTCAATGATTGGTTCTGCCAAACCAGATCAGATAATTCAAAGAACACTTCCAGAAGATGCTATGAGCACATTGCATTTATTCCAGTTAAGGTTTGGACTGGGATATCACAGTACTTATTAGATGTAAAGCCATATTTTGTAGATTCGAAACATTTTCATGCTACTACACTGACAAGGGTTATATTCATAATTCTGTCAATTAAGAACAGATTTTCTCTTATTATGTTTCCTCCATGTGCTGATGCTTTTTCATTGACAAAGAAATGATGGCCTTCTTGGAATCCAAAAACAAAGTTGAACTGTTTATAAACATGTACAG